CAGAGGGAAAGTACTAGCCTGTACACCAGAGCCAGGATGTTCAGCATGGTGGCCACGTCTGGGTGGTCGTGGCCGGAAGTCTTCTCCAGGTCCTCCAGGGCCTGCTTGCAGAGCGGCACGGCCACCTCGTAGCGGCCCTGAGAGGCGTACTGGATGACCAGGTTGTGGAGGGTGCGCAGCCGCGCTGGGATCTCGTAGCCGCCCTGCTGCGCGGCCGCCGCCGCACTGCTGTGCTGCTGCTGGACTGCAAGACAGGGTTTCAGGTCGCACGTGCGCCGCGGGCAGGGTCCGGACGACAGCGCCCCTTAGACCCTTCCCCTCCAGCTCTGGCCCCGGGGGCACGAGGCCCCCACGCTGCGGAAACCCACCCAGCGCCCCCCAGGCAGGCTGGGTGACGTCAGCACCGTGTCGGGGGTGGTGTGACGCCCCCAACAGTGCAGTGAGACGCCTCTCAGCACCAACGAACTCTGCCGGCCTCACCCTGTGAGACCCACAGGCCGCACGGGAGCTGCTTGTTCATGCCCCGAGATCTCGTACGGGCCAGGCTTGTTGCCATGGCCCAACAAGAAACACCTGAACTTCTCTTGGGACACATCAGGCAACCCGAGTGTACAAGTGCCTCTGGGAAGCAGGCTACAGGCTCTTAGACACCCACTAATTATGGCACTTCCATCGGGACAGGACAAACCACCTCCTGTTTGTATATGCTGCCACTCAACCGCTCCCCCGCGCCAACTTACTTCCTTGACCGGGATCATCATCGTCATTCGGGAAAAGGTCATCCAGAGGCTCTTTGGTGGAATCGGTGTCTTTGTCCTCCTATAAAACCAACCCAGGATAACTTCAGCCTTACAAGTACTATAAATCCTGTACTGGAAATCTTTAGTATCAACATCATTTTAACAAAAAAATCTTAGAAAAAAATAATCTGTTTTTAAAATCAAATATAAGGGAGGCCTGGGTGGCTCAGTCAGTTAAGCGTCTGCCTTCGGCTCAGGTCATGATCCCAGGGTCCTGGGATCCAGCCCCGCATCGGGCTCCCTGCTCGGCGGGGAGCCTGCTTCTCCCTCTGCCTCTACCTCTGCCTGACGCTCCCGCCCCATCTGTCGAATAAATAAAATTTTTTTTTTTTAAGATTTTATTTATTATTTGACAGAGAGAGAGTTAGAGAGAGCAGGAACACAAGCAGGGGGAGTGGGAGAGGAGAAGCAGGCTTCCCATAGAGCAGGGAGCCCGATGCGGGGCTCAATCCCAGGACCCCGGGACCATGACCCGAGCAGAAGGCAGACGCTTAACGACTGAGCCACCTAGGCGCCCCTAAATAAAATCTTTTAAAATAAAATAAATAAAATAAAATAAAACGGGCAGCTGGGTGGCTTAGTCGGGTGAACGTCTGCCTTCGGCTCAGGTCATGATCCTGGAGTCCTGGGAATGAATCCCACATTGGGCTCCCTGTTCAGTGTGGGGGGGTTTGCTTCTCCCTCTGCCCCTCCCCCTGCTCATGCTCTCGCTCTCTCTCTCACAATAAATAAATAAAGTCTTTAAAAATAAAATAAAGTAATCAAATATAGGGTTAACCACAATTTGGCTTATCCATCGATTGAGGAGAGAGTAACAGAAAGCCTGCTAGACTAGAATTCAAACTCAAAATGCAGGCCAACAGACCATGTGGCATTTCTACACCTTAGATTCTTCACTACGTTCTGAGGAAGTTCAAACAGAGCAGGAAACTCTTACTTGAAATAAATTTTATTTGGAAACCAAATACGTAAAAACAGACTACAATGGCCCATCGCTGAATGCCACAGAACTGGAGGGCTAGAGTTCCCCTTCCCTGCTCACCACCTCCACCAAAGGACACCTAAGAGCAATCTAAAACCTGCCAGTTTTTTTTTTTTAAGATTTTACTTATTTATGTGTGTGTTTATTTATTTATTGAAATAGAGAGACAGAATCCCAAGTAAGCTCCACGACCAGTGCAGAGCCTGATGCAGGGCTGGATCCCACAACCCTGAGATCCCCTAAGCCAAAAATCAAGAGTCATACGCCCAACCGCCTGAGCCACCCAGGCACCCCTGAAACCTTCTGGCTTTAACTCTGTGACTCGAGTCTCCCCACAGATCTCTGATTAGTGCAGGGGTAAAAACCGTGACTACACAATGGAGAGAACAGACAACAGTTTGACCAAGTGAAAAATCAGCATCACCCTGGGGCAGAAAACATCCCTTGCCCGTGGAAGGAGTCATCTGAGAAGCAATGTCACCTCGATAATATTCCTGTCTGGGACGCATGATCTAAACACACTCAGAGAGAGACATGTGACAAACCCAGACTGAGGAACAATCGATGAAGTAACTGGCTCCTGCACTCTTCAAAAATACCTATGTCATGAAAGGCAGAGAAAGACTTTTTTCTCTGTTTGAAAAGGACCTGTTTCAGATGAAAGACAGCCAAGGAGACGTGACAGCTGAGTGTCACATGTGGTCATGAACCAGATGGTGGCACGGCGAAAGGATGCCATGAAGGGCTCTGCTGAGACCAGGAAGACACGGTGCAGAGCAGATGAGTACCGTGCCCGTGTGACACTTCCGGACTGGAGCTGGCCCCACTTCCACAGGAGAATGTCCTCATGCTAGGGGACCATGCCCAGCAGGAGCAGGGGAGTGTGGCATGAGGTATGCCGCCTACCGCAATTCCGTTCAGAAAAACCATCACTCATGTACACCCTGAAAGGACAGGCAGAGCTAGCTCACTGTTAGCTCTCTTCTCCAAGCTAGGTATTTTTTCAAAATAACAAGTTTTAAACGTTTCTGATTCAACGAAACCCTACAAGATCTGGTATTCTAGAGGAATCACTGGCTGTCATCAGTAGCTTCATTTATTCTTTTTCCCACAGCAGCCCATAATAGTATGTCTTCTAAATCAAAAGCAAGGGAGAAATACAGTAAGCCTAATAAGACAGGGTGCTATGGACTAATGTGTCCCCCAAAGCCACATATGGAAGCCCTAGCCCTCAAGATGATGGCATTTGGAGGTGGGCTTTTAGGAGGTAATGTGTCAGATTGAGTCACATGGATGGGGCTGTCACGATAGGATTAGTGTCCTTACACGAAAAGGAAAACACTAGATACCTTCCTCTCTCTATGCATGCACCAGGGAAGGCCGAGTGAGGACACAACCAGGAAAAAGGCCCTCACCAAGAACCCAACGTGCCGACACCCTGATCTCAGAACTGTGGGAAATAAGCCAAGCAACTATGGTATTCCGTCGCAATGGCCCGAGCTGATGAAGACCTGCACTCTGGCAATGGGAGATGTAACATGAGAGACCAAGTGAAGGACACATGAGAATTCTCTTTACTACCTTTTCAACTTTTCTGTGAATCTAAAATTACTCCAAAATTTGTTTTTTAAAAAATTGTTTTTCAGGGTGCCTGGGTGGCTGAGTCGTTAGGCGTCTGCCTTCAGCTCGGGTCATGATCCCGGGATCCTGGGATCGAGCCCCGCACTGGGCTCCCTGCTCAGAGGGAAGTCTGCTTCTCCCTCTCCCACTCCCCCCTCCTTGTGTTCCCTCTCTCGCTGTCAATCTCTCTGTCAAATAAATAAATAAAATCTTTGGGGCGCCTGGGTGGCTCAGATGGTTAAGCGTCTGCCTTCGGCTCAGTGCATGATCCCAGGGTCCTGGGATCGAGCCCCGCATCGGGAAGCCTGCTTCTCCCTCTCCTTCTACTGCTTCCCCCTGCTTGTGCTCTCTCGCTCTATTTAAATAAATAAATAAAATATTTTTAAAAAATAAATAAATAAAATCTTTAAAAAAAAATTGTTTTTCAGTTAACTGAATCAGATATAAACGGTGGATGAAAAATAATTAAGACTGAGATGAACATCCTAAGAGAGCCAACAGAAAAAGGAGAAAACCAAGATCCTTGGGGAATATTCCAAAAACAAGGTAAGTTGGTAAGAGATACCAAGGAGGAGGCATGAGTGAGAGAGGAGAACCAGGTGGCAAACTGGCAGCAGGGGAAAGAGAGTTTCAAGAGAAAGGTCAAGACCCACGGCACCACTGGCTACAGGGTTAGTCCCAAGTCTGGATTATAGACAACTGGATGAGATGCACACTGACCTGAGGGAACAGTTCCAGTAGCGTGATGAACTTGGAAGCCAGACTCAATGGGTTCTCAAGCTGGGACAAACCTCATCAAGTGCCTCTCTGCATCGTGCCTTACATTCACAAGGTATCTGTACATTGTCTGACAACTGTTCTAAAACACAACTATG